TTCATGTCAGAAACAGGTTTCTGACAAATGGCCGTTTCGCCTGAGACATCCTCTTAAATTCTAGACGCAGGTCTGCGGGCCTTCCAGTCGTCGTGGCCACCCTGGACGCGCTCGAGGTTCGCCTGTTGGCCTCTCCCTATGTCGGGGATTCTCCAGGGCTCCTGGGCCCGCGGCTCGCCTTGAGTCTGCCGCCTCTTTCCGCCCGGGGTAGACGGACACCCGGTCCTCCCCCGCGTTGCCTTCCCCAGGGCCTGCTCATGTCCCCTGGCGTTGGCTCTCGCCGACTCTCCCGCCAGTGTTTGGCTTCCTCTCAGCGGCTTCTCGCACCATCCGGTGATTGGCGATCCGGAGTTTCCGTCGAGCGGTTGCACGTCATGTTGTTCGTCTGGGCCGAGGACTTCAAGTACTTCGTGGTGCTGCACGTCGCCCTGCTGTTCGCCGGGTGCTGGCGTTCTTCTGAGCGGCAGTGAGGTTCGCCCGGTGCTTGTCTATTCCGCCGTCTTTGCTCTCGTTGTCTTCGTGGCCTCTCCCTTGCGCGTTGTAGGCCGAATCTTGCGCGCTATGACTTTGACGGCGTGCGGCACCTCCGTATCGCTTGCGATCAAAAAGTATCCCCGCCAGCTTTTCGTCCTGGTCATCGCGCGGGTCTGCCATTTCTTACGTCCTGTTGGACGCTGGGCCCGCGTCTGAGCCAGGCGTCGCTCCGCATTTTTGTTCTTGTTGTTTCGGCGCGGCCCGCCCTAGATTTGCCGGGCTTTCGACGCGCTTCGCGAGCCCACGAACCAAAAACGTAACCACACCAGCCCATGTCGGAACGACGTCCAAGCGAGTTGAGGTGATCAGGGAAGCGCGGGAGCAAAGAGGGGGATAGATGTGGTGGGTGGCAATTGGTGCCTGGAATAGTAGGTGGTGGCACGAATGCCTTGAGATGGAGGTACGGGTCACCCCCCCCTACGGCCGTCTTCGTTGGCCGAGGGACCGTAGGGGGGTCCTCGGCCCCCTCCGGTGCCTATTGACGGCAAAATGGAAGGTTGACTGGTGGGAGCGGGAACCCTCGCAACCCCATTGATGGAAGTTGCGAGGGGTGTGAGGCCTAATGACAGTCCTCACCGACGAGGCCTAATGACGGTCCTCGCCGAGGGGAGGGGCGAGAGGGAGGGGGGCCACTCCGGGTGTCGATGCCGCCCGCGATGCCTCTCACTCCTGAGGCGGGATTCCTGCGCATGGGGGCCCACAAACCAGCATACACAGCTTCGACTCCGAGACTGTGTATACGCCACACCCCCCGGAACCTCCCGGACTACTTTTTCACCACATCGACGGGTGGGCCGGACAAGGGTGGGGTGATAGGGGGTCGGGGTCGCGAAGTCGCATCCCCACCAAAATAAAGTTCCATGCCTCCCCTGGGGAATGGAACAAGGTGGGAAGTGCCATTTCGGACCAGGACCCCCCGGAGCCGGCCAAAACGAGGGGGAGGGGACGAAATCTCCATAGTCGTTTGGGGAAACAGCCCCAATCCGCACACCAGACCAGAAGCCGGAGACCAGGGTCCACGGGGACCCAGGAAAAGGAGGGTCGATCGCCCCCGCCGCCAGGAATTGGATGCCACTCCAGGTCCGCGAAGGCGCCCCAGACGACGAAGCGACCGAGGCGTCGAGCTCGACCCCAGGCGAGTAATCCCCCACGTGCGCCGGCAGCACGGCGCGCGGCGCAGGCGAGGGGCTTGCGGGATCCTCGACTGGGGCAGCCCTAAAAGGAGAGAAAATCAACCCGGCACCGTACCCCGCGATCCAGACATGCTGGTGCGGGGACGGGCAAAACAGAGGCAGAGGAGGAGAGAACGGGCAGGGAGGACAGGAGGAGGAGGAGGAGAAGAGACAAGGCAAGAAAAGCGGGGGGGGGAAGGGGGCGGGCAAGGGGCCAGAGCGGGGACGGGGAAGAGAGGGGCGGGGGGACAGAGTCTGAAGTCAAACGTAGATTTGTGGCCCCAAGGGATCCTTGAGGTAGGTCTTCTCGATGGTTGGCGGGGAGTGGGCACGACCGCACGAGTGCCACTACAGCACGGGTCGAACCATCACCCTAGGTGGGCGGGGAGAGGGACACGACCGCATGAGTGCCACTACAGCACGGGTCGAACCGTCACCCTTGGTGCACTGCTGGGGTGGCCCAAGTGCCAAAATGTAAAGGCCCAAAGGAGGATAGATGTGGTGGGTGGCAATTGGTGCCTGGAATGGTAGGTGGTGGCACGAATGCCTTGAGATGGAGGTACGGGTCACCCCCCCCTACGGCCGTCTTCGTTGGCCGAGGGACCGTAGGTGGGTCCTCGGCCCCCTCCGGTGCCTATTGACTGCAAAATGGAATGTTGACTGGTGGGAGCGGGAACCCTCGCAACCCCATTGATGGAAGCTGCGAGTGGTGTGAGGCCTAATGACGGTCCTCACCGACGAGGCCTAATGACGGTCCTCGCCGAGGGGAGGGGCGAGAGGGAGGGGGGCCACTCCGGGTGTCGATGCCGCCCGCGATGCCTCTCACTCCTGAGGCGGGATTCCTGCGCATGGGGGCCCACAAACCAGCATACACAGCTTCGACTCCGAGACTGTGTATACGCCACACCCCCTAGAACCTCCAGGACTACTTCTTCACTACATCGACGGGTGGGCCGGACAAGGGTGGGGTGATAGGGGTGCGGGGTCGCGAAGTCGCATCCCCACCAAGATAAAGTCCCATGCCTCTCCTGGGGAATGGAACAAGGTGGGAAGTGCCATTTCGGACCAGGACCCCCCGGAGCCGGCCAAAACGAGGGGGAGGGGACAAAATCTCCATAGTCGTTTGGGGAAACAGCCCCAATCCGCACACCAGACCAGAAGCCAGAGACCAGGGTCCACGAGGACCCAGGAAAAGGAGGGTCGATCGCCCCCGCCGCCGAACTGTGCGAAGGAGGGAGGAGGAGGAAAAGGGGGAGGTTGGATGAATGGATGACGGAATGGGGAGAAGGAGGAGGAGGAGGAGGAGGAGGAGGAGGAGGAGGAGGAGGAGGAGGAGGGGGAGGAGGAGGAGGACGAGGACGAGGAGGAGGAGGAGGAGGAGGAGGAGGAAGAGAAGGAGTAGGAGTATGAAGGAGGAGCAGGAGGAGGAGGGCAATCAAAAGGGCCAGAGGTCTCTTGGATGCCTCTCGGAGCCTCTTGGGGTATCTCTTGGGCGCTTCTTGGTGGCCTCTTGGGACGTCTTGGGGGTCTCTTGGCGGCCCTGGGGGACTCTTGGGCGTCGCTTGGGGTCCTCTTGGGAGCCCCGTGGGGGTTTCTTGGGGGCCTCGTGGGGTATTTTGGGGCCATCTTGGGACCTCTTGGGGCCTCGTGGGCGCCTCTTGGGGCGATTTTGGAGGAGATCGATCAAAGAAAAGGGGAGCTGATTTTAGCGTCGCCCCCCCAAGAGGCCAGAACGGAACCATAACAATAGTAAAACCAATGATTTAGGTTGCCTCGCCGAGGCCTTTTCGGACGCCCTGACCGTTCGCGAACCCCTCCGTCCATGTCCAGGGGAAGCGGTAGGGGGAGGGGTCAAGGGTCTCCCTCCCTGCCCGCAAGCTGTCTCGCTCACTCACTCCCGCCCTCCCAACACATACGTAGCACCCGAGCCTGGCCCGAACCTCAGCATATGCAGCAGTCGTCCTTGGATGGCCAGCTACTGGGGGCGAGTCCGCCGCCGCCGCCGCCTCCGCCGCCGCAGCCGCCGCCCGCCGCCGCCGCCGCGCCGCCGCCGCCGCCGCCGCTGTCCGCCGCCGCTGCCGCCACCGCGCCGCCCGCCGCCGCCGCCGCCGCCGCCGCCGCCGCCCGCCGCCCCCGCTGCCAAATCGCCGTTGCTGCAGCCGCCGCCGCAGCCGCTGCCGCCACCTCTGCCGCCGCCGGCGCCACCACCGCCGCCGCCGGCGCCGCCGCCGCCGCCGCCGCCACCGCCGCCGCCGCAGCCGCTGCCCCCGCCGCAGCCGCCGCAGCCGCCGACGCCGCCAAGTGTGGTCTGTATCGTTTTTTTGACAGGGGTGGTAGGGGGAAGCCGCATCGGGTTCGCTGCGCATTTTCCGAATTTGGAGACAGAGTTTGTTTTGTATTGTTTTTTACAAGGGATGGTGGGGGCAGAGTGTGTTTTGTATTGATTGTTTCAAGGGGTGATGGGGGGGGGCCGCATTGACTTGGGTTGGCTCCCAGTCGCCTGGGGGAGGGGGTGTATAGTAATAGGGAACAGTGATCAAGATTCCCTCCCCGCCCTTAAGCAGTTTCGTTCACTCCCACCCGCCCTCCCAACACATACGTAGCACCCGAGCCTGGCCCGAACCGCAGCATATGCAGCAGTCGTCTTTGGATGAGCAGCTACTGGGGGCGAATCCGCCGCCGCCTCCGCCGCCGCCGCCGCCGCCCGCCACCGCCGCCGCCGCCGCGCCGCCGCTGCCGCCGCCGCTGTCCGCCGCTGTCCGCCGCCGCCGCCGTCGCCCCCGCTGCCGAATCGCCGCCGCAGCCGCTGCCGCCACCGCTGCCGCCGCCGCCGCCCCCGCCCCCGCCGCCGCCGCCACCGCCGCCGCCACCGCCGCAGCCGCCACAGCCGCCGCAGCCGCCGCAGCCGCCGCCGAGGCCGTCAACTGTACTCTGTATTGTTTTCTGAAAAGGATGGTGGGGTGAGGCCGCATCGGGTTCGCTGCGCATGCTCCGAATTTGGAGGCAGAGTGTGTTTTGTATTGCTTGTTACAAGGGATGGTGGGGGGTGCCCGCATTGTCCCTGGTTGGCTCCCAGTCGCCTGGGGGAGGGGGTGTATACTAATAGAGAACAGTGATAAACCCTTCCCCGAACGGGAAGAAGGGGGGGTGGGATAGGAAACTCCATAAACCACCTACGCCCAGAGGGCTGGTGGGATTCGGCCCAGGAGGGGACTCCGAATCGACATCGTCCAAGAATCGCCTCCAGGCTTTCGAACGGCCCACAGGAGACCCACAAGACGGCCCAGAGGGCCCCGTAATTACAGCCGTGTTGGCTCAAGTTGCAGCCGCAGCAGATCAGCTTTGCAGCCCCGGCTGGCGGGGCCGCAGCCCCGGCGGAGGGCGCGGTCGCCCTTGCATGGCCCCAGGGCTGGTTGGTGTCAGGAGGCCACGCCGACAAGCTGCTGGTGCTCGGCATGTCCTGCGAAAGCCTCGACTCGCTAGATCGGTCTGATCGAAGTTCCCACCAGTCGCCATGGGGGTCGAAAGCAAGCTCTGGCACGTCGCCTCTGGCAAGGAATTGCGACATCCGTTCGGAGAGCCACCGCTCGCGCTCCAGCCGCAACAGCCTTCCGTTCGGCTGCTTGTCGGACTACTCCATGGTGGACTCGGACATCTCGCCGCGGATGCTCACCTCCATGGGCACGTCGCCCATGGGCGGCTCCTCCGCGCCCTCGTTCTTCCCCGACGCCCGGCGGCGGTCCAGGGGCACGTCGCCCATGGGCGGCTCCTCCGCGCCCTCCTTTTTCCCCGACGCTCGGCGGCGGTCCCCGGGCACCTCGCCCATGGGCGGCTCCTCCACGCCTTCGTTCTTCCCCGACGCCCGGCGGCGGTCTCCGGGCACGTCGCCCATGGGCGGCTCCACTGCACCCTCGTTCTTCCCCGACGCTCGGCGGCGGTCCCCGGGCACGTCGCCCATGGGCGGCTCCTCCGCGCCCTCGTTCTTCCCCGACGCCCGGCGGCGGTCCCCGGGCACGTCGCCCATGGGCGGCTCCTCCTCTGCACCCTCGTTCTTCCCAGGGGCGCTGCGCCGATCTGGCGGCGGCTCCAAGAGTCCCACTGCGGGCTCGGGGACTTCTACCGCGGGTTTCTCCCTGGAGGCCCACGACGGCCCGTTGTTCCGCAGCCTGCCGCCAGAGTTGGTCAAGGAGGTTATTTCCCTGCCCGACGGCGAGAACGAGAGCGGCGAGGAGGCAGTCGGTCACGGCGGCTCGAAGAACAGCTGGGCCACCCCAGATAGCCGGAACAGCCAGATCGGGTCGAGCTACGACGTGACCAAATTTGTCACCATGGCCACGAGCCAAGGCGACTCTCGTCAAAATATTGGAAGGGACGTCAGCCGGGCACACATGCAGAAGTTCGCGCTCTGCCGTCGTGAGGCGTGCGCCTGGGTTCGCAGGGGCGAAGTGCTCGTGAAGCATCCATTGAGACGAACTGACGGAGGTCACTTCAGCACGCTGAAGGAGATGCGCCGGAAGCCCCACGTGCTCCTGTCCAGGCGGAAAAAGTATACCTTCGTGGTTTTAGACAGGCACAAGACCGCGAGCGGCCACCCCGAGCTGAGGTGGGGCCGAGACCTGGGGCGCGCGGTGTCGATGCAGGCAAAAGGGTGCCTGGTGCTCTCCGAAGTTCACTATGTGGCGGCTACTGTGCTGCACGATGAAGCGGAGGTCTCGGAGAAGCTGCTGAATGAGTTCCAGATAGTCGGCTCCAACTACTCGATGAAGATCGTGGCGCCGTCGCGGGAGTCCATGAAGTTGTGGGTCGTTGGGTTGCTGCAGTTGTCGCAGCTCGCGAGGAAGAGAAACTTGAAGTTCAAGCGGACAACTGTGGACGACGTGCTGTGGAACTCAATCGTCCGCGAATTCCAAAGATTAGACAAGGACGGATCTGGAGACATTTCGACTGAGGAGCTCGCAGATCTGATCCCGTCAGCCAGCGGCAACTCGAGCGCAGTCAGCGAGATGCTGTCCAAGTTTGACGTAGACGGCAACGGCACCCTCCAGTTGCAAGAATTCGCACGGCTCTTCCAAGCTTTGTCAGTGAAGGACGTGCTGTCCCCTTGGTTCCTGAAGTATGCGTGCCATGTGACGACAGACCTTGGCTTGCAGACAAAGGGAATCAGCGAGGCCTCCTTCCTGGAGTTCCTGGAGCGCGAGCAGTGCGAGACTGGCGCCGCAGGCGTAGTCTTTGCGGACCTGCAGTCCCCGCACGTCGTGTCCGTGGGAGGAAGGCTCCACCTGACCGAGCTGGGCCTCTCGTTCTTGCTCTGCTCCGCGAAGAATCCAGCCTTCGACCCCGCCCGTGGGCAGAAGGTGCACCAGGACATGACCCAACCGATCTCGCACTACTGGATATCGTCTTCGCACAACACATATTTGGAGAGGGACCAACTCTTCGGCACAAGCGCCCTGGAGCAGTACCAGGACGTGTTGCTCAGGGGTTGTCGCTGCGTGGAGATCGACTGCTGGGATGGCGACGATGGCGAGCCTATCGTGACGCACGGATACACTGCCACCTCGCGCCTGATGTTCCAGGACGTCGTGCGGGTGTGCAGGGACTACGGCTTCGTGGCGTCCCCGTATCCCCTGATCCTCAGCCTGGAGGTGCATTGCGGGCCGAAGCAGTTGGCGCGCATGGGGCGCATCCTGAACGAGATCCTTGGCGACAGGTTGTTGAGACTGCCCGAGGGTGGCTTGTCCACCGCGGAGCTGGTCTCGCCCGCCGCTGCGATGCGAAGGGTGATCGTCAAGGGCAAGGTGCCACACGAGCTCATCCTGGCGAACAGCGAGTTTGCAGAGGCGACCCAGCTGACCTCGGCCTCCTCGTCCTTCGCCAAGGGCAGGAGCCAGAGCAGCGTCATAAGCAACAGCAGCCAGCTGGAGCCATACTCCTGCGACAGCCTGCCCTCGACCCCCTCGAGACGGCGGCGCGTGCTCGAATCGCTAAAACAGTGCCTCCATATGTTGTCTCAGATGCATGGGAGACCGACGAATAAGTTCCACCATGATTTCCAATTGCCCGTCGAGTGCCACGAGGCAAACGAGCCGACTTCCCTGGGCGAGCGGCGGCGAGTCAATTTTGGGGCCACGGAGGATGCGCCAGCTGCCGAGGCGCTCCGACCCCCAGCGCTCGACCTGGACGACTCGCCGCTGGAGAGTCCTCCGGTGAGCTCGCCGCCGAGTCCTTCGTGGCACGGCGAGGCGTCGCAGGGCGAGTTCTCGTTCGACGTGTACAGCGCGCAGGAGCGCCCCTCGCAACGCTCAGGTAGCAATTCGCTGGCAGCGACGCGGGCAGCGAAGCCTGCCAGCTCTGCGAGGAGTCTGCTGCGCCGCCTGGCGCGCGGCAAGGACGGCGTCGACGCCTTCGACATCGAAGGCGTCCAGGAGTACGCTCGGACGCTGTACCTGGTGGCGCGGAAGCCGCCGCGCGGCGGGCTGTGGTCTTCGCTGGCGGAGGAGGAGCCGCGCAAGGATCACGAGCTGGTCCTGTTCCCCTGCAACATTATGTCCCTCAACGAGAAGAAGGCGGAGAAGCTGCTGGTGACGAACTTGAACCGCTCGCGGGAGCACCACCAGAACAACCTTTCGCGGGTCTACCCGATGGCCACCCGCACCAGCAGCTCCAACCCCGACCCCGTGCCCTTCTGGCTTGCGGGCGTGCAGATGGTCGCCCTCAATTACCAGAGCATGGATCTGCCCGTGCTGATCAACGATGGGCTGTTCAGGAACGAGAACGGCGGTGCGGGCTACATCCTGAAGCCCGACCTGCCGCCCCCGCCCCTTCAAAAGGGAGGCTGCGTGCTGGACGTGGGGGTGCTCTGCGGCCAGTACTTGCCTAAGCCAGGGGCAGACAGAGGCGGGGACAAAGGCAACAAGACCACCAATCCCATGGTCCGGGTCAGCATTTCCGGCCTCGACGAGGACCGGAAGAAATTTGTGACCTCGCAGGTGTTTGAGAATGGCTTCAACCCGCGGTGGGAGGAGACCGTTTCCTTCGAGCTGTTACACCCGACGCTTTCTATATTAATTTTCGAGGTCGTGCACACTCGGAACCCGGCGGCCCATTCGCCGTCGCAGTTCGGCTGCCTCGGCGGGAAGAAGTCCACTCGGCGGCGTAAGCCGCGCTCCTGGCAGAACGTTTTCGTGGGAGCTGGAAGGAGGTGCCGGTCGTTGAGCAGGAGTTCGCAGAGGCAGGGCCGCAGCGCCACCGTCGCCACTGCGTGCAGCCGCAGAAGGGCCGAAGAGGTGGTTGCAGCGGCGGCCGTGCCCGTGTCCGGCCTCCGCGAGGGGCTCCGTTGGGTCCAGCTGCTGGACACCAGGTTTCACCCAGTCGAGCGCTCGGGGCTGCTGCTGGACATCAGGCTCAGCGGCGCCTGGGCATCGGAACGCCGCTCCGTTTCTACATCTGCGGCGCCCACGACATCATTAATAGCAGTACCCACTAGGGCGCCCCCTGCTGGGTCGTCCTCGGCGCTGCAGCGGCGCTGCATCTCTCTTGGCGCGTCTCCTCTTCCGCAGAAGGAGAGGATCGTCACCCCCTGTGTGTCTCTCGCGAGGGAGATGGTCGTCGCCGTCTGACCGCGCGCTGACGAAATTTTCACCCTTCTGTTCCTAGCCCCGTTCGTTGCCTCCGCTGGACCATTACCAGATCTGGGTGGCAACGTTTTTTGTTCGGGGTGTCGTATATGCTCCAGGTGGTGCCGCCCCAAGCGAGCGATGCGTCAACTCAACTACTGTGCTGACTCCTACCGAGTCCTGTAGGGAGACTCCCGTCCGAACCACACAGTGGCGAGCAGGAGGATGAGGAGGAGGAGGAGGAGGAGGAGGAGGAGGGAGGAGGAGGCAGGTGGTAGGGATGGAATCAGTGTTACCCGTGTTTTTCATATTTGTTGTTGTGCGCATAGCCAATAGGCGCTATGTCGAGCCAAAGCCTGGCGTTGCAGCCCACTGTATTTGAGGAGGCTAAGCTTCCCATGTGTGCACTTGTGCTACTTGTTTGTTTCATACAGATGTTAGCTATCTTGAGATCCATTCTTTATACTAGGGTGACGCTTGTAAGGAGTGGCCTAGTCTGAGCTGTCCCGGACCTTGTAAAAAAAATACGCCCCGGAGGGCCCCAAGAGCTTCCAAGAGCGCCTCAGGAGGACCCCAAGAGACCCCGAAGAGCGCAGCAGGAGGCACCCAGGCAGCTCACAAGAACCCCAAGACGGCACAAGACGGGCCAAGAGGGCCCCAAGAGACTCCGGGAAGCCTCCCGGGCGGCCCCCAAGCGGCCCACGAAAGCTCCTAAAGAGCCCCACGACGCGCCCAGACATCCCAAGAAGATCCCAGAAGCCCATTCGAGGACCCAAGAGGCCCCCAAGAGGCCCCCAACAGGCCCCAAGACAACTCCGCGCGGCGCCAGGAGCCCCCAGGGTAGCCCAATTGCCTCTCACTGTCCTGCGTCGTCGTCGTCATCGTCCTCCGTATTCCTCCTCGTACTCGCCCTCGTTCTCTTCGTCCTCGTCCTTGTGCTTCTCTTCCTCCTCGTTGTCCTCATGCTCATCCTCGCTATCCTCGCGTTCTCCACGTCGTCCTCGTCATCGCCTCCTCGTCGCCCTCGCATTCCTGTTCTGCTTCTTCTTCTTCTTCTTCGCTCGATACGCCCATTGGACTAAAGCGGCGCTTCCCGTTCTTGCCCGACCAGGTTTGGGGCTTCTTGGGGTCTCGTGGCGACTTCTTGGTGGCTTCTTGGGGGATCCTGTTGGGGCCTGTTCAGACATCTTGGGCCCCTCTTGGGGCCCTCTTGGGGGCCTCCCCGTTTGGGGGCTTGGAAGCCGTCAACTTGGGGCGATCTTTGGGACCCCATGGGCCGTCTTGGGCGCTCTTGAGACCGAAAAGGCGAGAAGGCTCAGACCACAGAACCGCTGCTTTGATTTGCTCTGATTCTGGCCTCTTGGGCAGCTCCCAGGGCCTCCAAGACGGCTCGAGATGCGCCAAAAAGGGCGAGATGTTCCACGCAAAGAACTTGAAGTGATCTGACACAGCTCCGCTCAGCGCCCCGCGGCGCGGTTGAGGATTCTCTCTCTCTCTCTCTCTCTCTCTCTCTCCCGGATTCAAGTATGTGTCTGGCGCCTTCCAGTGGCAGGCCTCCGCTTGTCGATAGTGCAGTCGTAGCGACTTGGGCCAAGCGGCCTGCGGCCAACGTCATGCTGGAAGAGGTGGGGTGCAGATGCCCTGGCTCGAGGCGGTGCTGGGATGGTCCTTGGGACGTTTGCGTTGAGCATCGTAACTGTAATATTGCAGCATTGTTCGCGGATGCGAAGTCACTTGCGTTTGCTAGGCGAGGCCATCCAGACACGGGGGTATAATGACACACGTGCGAAAACATAGCAAAGTGGAGCGTGGAGAATGGCAGGCTGGAGGAAGGATGCCAATTTGCTGCAGTTTGCCATCAGAGGTCGCAGTTCGCGCTTTGCGTAGTTTCTCCTTGTCTCGTCCAATTGCTTCTCGTTTTGTTGCTCCTGCGCATCCTCCTCCTGCTCCTCCTCTGCTCCGGCTCAGCCTCCCCTCCCCCTCCTCCGAGTCCTCCTCCCGCTCTTCCCCCTTTCTCCGCCCCTTCCTCCGGCCGCGCCCCCTCCACTCACCCTGTCAAGTCAGCCATCTCTGCTCAATCCGCACTGAGCACAAGGACCGTCCAGCCATCTTCACTCGCTCGTCCAGCGCTCCCTGGACCCGCGACCATGGATCAGACCGAGAAGGCCTTCCAGAAGCAGGACGCGGTATTTATTGGCGCTAAGCGCCTGCTCGGGAAGAAGGCCGGCAAGAAGGCCTTGCGCTACTGGCGCAATGTGGGCCTCGGCTTCAGCACCCCGAAGGAGGCAAAGGAGGGGAATTTCGTTGACAAGAAGTGCCCGTTCACGGGGAACGTTAGCATCCGCGGCAAGATCCTGAAGGGCATGGCGATCTCCTGCAAGATGAAGAGGACGGTCATCATCAGGCGCAATTTCCTCCACTATTAAGCGGCGCTGTCGCGCACATCTGCCAGTGAGCTCTGGGGGTTGGGCTCGGGGGTCGTTCGTGGCATGATTTCCACTTCGAGTGGCCAGGCAGTGAGCGACTTGGGTAAGGCAGTGTACGACTTGGGTCAGACATGACGCTTGTTTGGTTTGCGGCGTTGGAGCGGTAAGAAAAATAACAAGTCCGACGCACGTTCTTCTATCCGATGAGAGTTCGGGTGTTCATTCTACGCGCAGACAGAGCAAGGAAGAAACAGACACGCTGGCTGCGATTTGTTGCGCCGATCACGTTCACCGGCACTCGCTGGACAGAGGGCGTGGAGTGACACGGCGACCAACTTGTTTGAGTCGACCATGGTTCACGCGCACTTTCAGAGGCACGTGCGCGTATGGGCACGAAACAACGGTCTGAATGTGAATAGAAGCTTCCATTCCTTAGGATGCAACTCTTCGGAGGTTGTCTTGTGCATGGGCACTGGTATATCTATCAATGGTCGAAAACCTGCCCAATCTGGCATCATCCTGTTTAATTCGGCTTAGCCCTGCTCAGCCTGGCCTTATCCAGCTCAGTCCTTCGCTTAATCTGGCCTGATCCATCTGAATTACTGGCCCCGTCATCGTGCTGAGTAGCACTC